AGTTTGAGACAAAAACAACTGGACTTTATTTGTAACGGAAGACGTTTCGCTTATCATCCGAGGAGCTTTCTCAATTCAAAGAGCAGGGAGTGTGGGGTTCGAGTTATAAAGCTGAGGTAAGATGCATGCATACATATGCAGACTGACCTGTCACACCTCACAGTATGGTTTCGTTAAAGTCTTTGTTAATCTAATTCAAAGATGCCACTCTGGTCACATGGATGACATTCCTGACAGGTGTGAAACTATCGGATGCATTATAAGTTTTTGAAAGTTGAAATCTGTTCACCTGCACCTCAAGGATAAGAGACACTCATTTGAGGACCAAAATGTTCTCATTTGGTTAGAGAGGCGGGGGGTGAAGGAAGTCTTTTATGTAAAAAGAGAGAAACCATCTTTAAACAAAGGAGGAGGGCTCGGATTTCAACTTAAAGTCCAGTTGTTTTTGTGTTTGACCTTTTTTCGAATTTACCTTGTCCTGGTTGGCTGAAAATCTTCACCAGCGTATCTGATGCAACAGCACAATACAGGTCCTTCTCAAAAAATTAGCATATTGTGATAAAGGTCATTATTTTCCATAATGTAATGATAAAAATGATACTTTCATATATTTCAGATTCATTGCACACCAACTGAAATATTTCAGGTCTTTAATTGTTTTAATACTGATGATTATGGCATACAGCTCATGAAAACCCAAAATGCCTGTCCCAAAAAATTAGCATATTTCATCCCACCAATGAAAGACAAGTGTTTTTAATACAAAAAACGCCAACCTTCAAATAATCATGTTCAGTTATGCACTCAATACTTGGTCGGGAATCCTTTTGCATGAATGACTGCTTCAGTGCGGCTTGGCATGGAGGCAATCAGCCTGTGGCACTGCTGAGGTGTTATGGAGGCCCAGGATGCTTCGATAGCGGCCTTTAACTCATCCAGAGTGTTGGGTCTTGTGTCTCTCAACTTTCTCTTCACAATATCCCACAGGTTCTCTATGGGGTTCAGGTCAGGAGAGTTGGCAGGCCAATTGAGCACAGTAATACCATGGTCAGTAAACCATTTACCAGTGGTTTTGGCACTGTGAGCAGGTGCCAGGTCATGCTGAAAAATGAAATCTTCATCTCCATAAAGCTTTTCAGCAGATGGAAGCATGAAGTGCTCCAAAATCTCCTGATAGCTAGCTGCATTGACCCTGCCCTTGATAAAACACAGTGGACCAACACCAGCAGATGACATGGCACCCCAGTGACTGTGGAAACTTGACACTGGACCTCAAGCAATGTGAATTCTGTGTCTCCTCTCTTCCTCCAGACTCTGGGACCTTGATTTCCAAAGGAAATGCAAAATTTACTGAAATCAGAGAACATAACTTTGGACCACTCAGCAGAAGTCCCAGACGAGATGCTTCTGACGCAGTCTCTTGTTCAAGATTGGTTTGACCTGGGGAATGCGGCACCTGTAGCCCATTTCCTGCACACGCCTGTGCACGGTGGCTCTGGATGTTTCTACTCCAGACTCAGTCCACTGCTTCCGCAGGTCCCCCAAGGTCTGGAATCGGCCCTTCTCCACAATCCTCCTCAGGGTCCGGTCACCTCTTCTCGTTGTGCAGCGTTTTCTGCCACACTTTTCCCTTCCCACAGACTTCCCACTGAGGTGCCTTGATACAGCACTCTGGGAACAGCCTATTCGTTCAGCAATTTCGTTCTGTGTCTTACCCTCTTGCTTGAGGGTGTCAATGATGGCCTTCTGGACAGCAGTCAGGTCGGCAGTCTTACCCATGATTGCGGTTTTGAGTAATGAACAAGGCTGGGAGTTTTTAAAAGCCTCAGGAATCTTTTGCAGGTGTTTAGAGTTACGTCGTTGATTCAGATGGTTAGGTTAATAGCTTGTTTAGAGAACCTTTTCATGATATGCTAATTTTTTGAGACAGGCATTTTGGGTTTTCATGAGCTGTATGCCATAATCATCAGTATTAAAACAATTAAAGACCTGAAATATTTCAGTTGGTGTGCAATGAATCTGAAATATATGAAAGTTTAATTTTTATCATTACATTATGGAAAATAATGACCTTTATCACAATATGCTAATTTTTTGAGAAGGACCTGTATATCCTAATAAAATACGCAGACATCTGTGGATTAGGTTTAGCCTGTTGTTGCTGTCAGTGCAAAAACAGATCATTTGACCTGAAGTCTGTTGGCAGCAGGTTTCCTTTTTGTGTTTTGGCTTTCATCGGGGTTCCCTCCTCAACTGATATGGCCATGCAGTTGTGTCCTGCGTTTGCCTGCAGCTTTGGAGTTGTAGTTACATAATCTTTCTCAAGGCAGAGCTGCTCTGAAGGCGGAAATAATCTCACAAGTCGAGTTAAATCTCGGTGGGCAGGGAGAAAGAAATTGCATTTTCATGCAGTCATGAGCTTCATCTGTATTAGACCATGCAGCACATATTTTTGTAGTTATCACAAAAAAGAATGACTTTTTAATTGAGTCTTGTCTCTGCATCACATTCTGTAGTGGACAGGAAGTATATATAGTATATATGCTTCTATATATGTGAAATAATCTTTCACTGAAGAGATGCTTTACGTAACGGCTTTTTAGTTGGGAGCTAGTGTGTTCGAAGTGTTTTTGTAGAAAATGTTTACTTTTAAGACATTATTAATAAGATAAGCTTTAGCTCTTACTGCAGATTAGCCCGCCCATCACTATTGGTTCAAAATTAAAAGCAGGTGTTTATAAAACACACAATATCATGTTTGTTTGTGTCTTTATATGTATATATTAGTGCCACTTATACTTTTTATTTATTGCGAGATAAATAGCTAAAGATAAAGTTTATTACTTGTGAGGTATGTGGCAGATAATCTTGAGTTTTTTTTTGGCTTTGCTTTTGGTGGGAGCTGACACTTGAAGGCTTGACTTCCCATGTTGATGTTGTGGTAAATGGACTGCATTTATATAGCACTTTTCTATCGTATCAAGATACTCGAAGCACTTTACACTACAATCTGTGCCTCATTTACCCATTCATACAGCACTCTACTAGATCTCTACAAGGCTAATATGAATTTGTAGAAACTAGTCAGTGCTTCATTCATCCTCCGTATTGTCGAAGCTCCAAAATTCACGGTTGAAGTGCCTTCGTGTGAAAAGTTTTTCTCTGCTAAAAGAAGCTGAGAACTTGTTTACTGATTTTTATTTTACTTTTTTTTAATTAAAAGCTTTGTGTGAAAAATGCTATGCTAAAGAGCTCAAACCAAACTGAGCGTCCGCCATTTTGAGAACTGGAAAAAATGGAGAGACAGCCCATGTCACGTCAAGGGGCCTCCCTCCCATTTTTCTTAGAGACACGCTGCTCGCTCCCTCACTATCCATCCTTCGTTTCAAACAGTCTTGTACTGCCACCCGGTGGTCAAAAAAGGTACTACACTCAACGTAAAATTAACCAACATTTCGTCTTACATTTAACATCGTCTTACAATTACAAATTATTGTCAAATTTCAAACGATATTATCGTCAATAATTTCTGAGACGATTAACTGCCCAGCAAAATTTGTTATTGTGACAGGCCTACCGAACCGATGGGACACACATCGGCGGCAATGAGGGGTTCATTGTGTTGCCCAGGAACACTTCGGCATGTGACTGCTGGTGGAATCAAACCCCCAACTCTTGCATTGGAGGACGACCTCTCTAACCACTCAGCCACAGCCGCCCCCTGTTATTAAAGTGATATTGGGAAAATTTATTGATAATCTTGTGTTTTCATAACACTGACACAGAGTTGTAAAGAGAATAGAATGGCCATGAAATAACATTATAACGTTATTTTAAACCTGTTTTTCTAAGGATTTTTAGCCAGATTAAAATGTTGACAACTTGACATCAATCTGGATTTTATACCAGCTTTTTGTTGTTTGTTGTCAACAATGTTTAATCGATTTATTTATTATAAACAAGATCAGTTGACAGACTAATGCATTGCAATTTAATGGGTGTTCAACAAAGCTGTGCAAGTTGTACAGAATAAACGAGTTGTAAATGGTGCCTCGGTTCACAAAAGGATAAAGCTTCACAACTTCAGCTTTTAGAAAAAAACTAGTTAAATATTTGATTTACCAGTATTTTCACTTAAGCTTGAAAAAAATTGTCATTACATTGATAACTCGAATCTTGCGTGTGTGCACCTTTATACTTGAGTTTATAATCTATAAACTCATTAGATGTTGTTTATCATGAGGACTAGTTTTGTTTTCTCAGTGAGACATGGATAAAAGGAAGATAAGAAAAGTCTTGTGCACGCACTCAAAAACAAACAAACAAAAAAACCCAAACAAAACTTTTCCACCACTCCCCGTTTACACACAGGTATTTTGCTTTCTCCGTCATTTCACAACAATCAAAGCTTATAGGATAAACGTCTATTACTTTAAGAGGTCAAATGTCTTTTAATCTGTCCACTGTGTCTGCAAGCTGCTGACACACACACACACACACACACAGAATATCATTGCACAAATCAAATGCCTAGTAAGTTTTATGTCCATTCAGTCAGGGCCTCAGTAATTACGTTCAGCTTTTTATACCGTCACCGTCTCCTTCCTGACTCTTGATTGTGAGGAAATCAACAGAATTCTAACCAAAACAATAAGAAATGAGCTGCAGCTTCGTGGAATGAACATTAAACGGTTAAACAGACAGCAACCAAGGGGAAAATGGTCTTTTATTTGTTTAGGTACGCTGCCTGTGTCAAGCTCATTGAGTTAGTTATATTTTACATTTTAAGCCATATGCTGCTAAATAAAGAAGCTGTAATTACCAGGTGGTTAGGGTTCATTTTGTTGCTTGTTGGACTCTCACACCTCGTCTTTTCACAATCACCCATTATGCAAACTGACCCAGAGTCATTTTCATGCAAACTGTGAAGAGATGCAGATGAAGGATGTGTGTCGAGGGTGGCAGGCGATTGACTTCTCTTTTCTCCTTTTGTAAAACAGCTGTCGCAGCAGCAACAGGAAAAGCCTCGGGGTCGGGACGCCCTCACCCACACTGTCCAGGCCACTCTCCCCGCTCTCACTCAGCACAGGTAAAATGAAATTCACGTTATATGAATGAACAAATTCTACCTGGAAAAATAACTTAAAATAAATTTAAAAAAGTTGACTTTCTATCAGTTCAAATAATCAGAAAACATGAAGATCCACATGATATCTACAGAACTTGTTAAAAATCACTTTACAAAATGAAAAGGAAGTCTGACTTCTTAAAAGTGAAAGAGAAATTAGAGGATGACATCAACCGTTTGGAAATCTCCTGCCTCTCAAATAAACTAGAAACTCCTCTGAGTGCCCTCATTAGGCACTCGGACGCTTGTATGTAAATAACCGCCGTCTCTAGTTTAACCAGACGATAAACAAAACAAGACGAGGCTTTCCTGTGCATTAAGTGTGTGCAGACTGATGTATGTTCTGAAAAGTAAGATATGTCGGACCTCTCCTCACGTTAATGGAAGGTTCCTGCACAGACGTGAGGTCATTCTTTTTGTAAAATTGACCTTTGTGAACTCAGTCACGCGGCTTTCTTTTCATTTAGTTTTCATCAGTTTATTGTTAACATTGTAAATTGCACCGTTTCACCCCTTTCAGCTGTGAGCAGCCCTCTGGACAGCCCTCGAAATGTGTCAGCCAGTGCCTGCCTCAACTTTCCATTCGCTCGAAGGTATGTCAGCTCTATTTAAAGCCTCTTTACCCCTCGAGTGAGGAACTAGTTTGGTTGCATCTAAACATTGAAATTGTTTTTGATTGAACCACTTTGACAATTTTTTTCCTGTTTATTGTACAGGTAGATGTAAAAAAACCCAAGTACACACCTGTAATTTACCGGTACTTGTATGCACTGATGACCTAAGCAATTATGATAGTTGAAGTTAAATTGATTTTGAATCTTGTATTTGTTTAAAATTATTTGACTTGTTTGGTGTTACCGCAAATTAAACTTCCATTTGTCCATGAGTCTTTCTGTGTCCTACAGTAAAATCCAATCAGCGCTGGCTCATGAGTATATAGATTCAACTAATTTGACAATAAAAAAAAAAAAAAAACACTAAATGCAAATTGGTCACAACTGGGGGTTTCCTGGAAGATTCATTGTGTGTGCTGGGACAAAGACAGACATGAGAGACAGAAGGAAGAGAACCGGCAGCACGATGACAGAGGCTGACTCAGCCCAGAACGTTCACACCTTCCTTCCTCTGCCAGGTCTTCTTAACGCTGACTCCCCCTCAACAGGATGGATGTAGTCAGATCCAGGGTACCCCCGAAGCCCCCCTCGCACATCATTCAATAAGGTTCCCATGGTAACAGGCTTGTCTTGCTGCAGGCATGTGAAGCCTGAAAGTATAACGACACCTCAAAGAAACCCTGGGAGAGTCTTTAAAAAATGATGAGAGGTTTAGGTGCTTCTCCTCCAACTTATCTGAGAAATGCTTTGAAAAACACACGAGAGCTGAAAGGAGATGGATAAATAGTTGATCCTCTAATATTTTTCTTGTATCAAAAGTCTTGGAAGTTAAAGGTCTTAGCTTGAATTGCTTTGTTTGTAATTTCCAAAAGCAAACAAAACACGAGCACAAATAGTTTTGTTTGAAACGTGAATAACATTTGTCTTCATGTACTGCATGCCTGAAATACCAAAACATACTTTTTGGTCTCTACAAACTTGCCACTTACAGTTCTTCAACTTGAAATGTTTTCTGTTATATAAAAACTATCCTCAAATTATTTTGTTTGCTTTCTCACGCTTTGCATTTGGGCTAATGAGAACTGGCAAGGAAGGGTGCGTTGTCAGTACTGATCCCTCAGCTGAATGCCACAGGTCACAGGATCACTTGCACAAGAGTCCTCAAATTTACTGAATCCCTGTTTTTGCTTTTCTCTTTCTCTTTCCCGCTGTCGTGAACTCAGTCACTTGGCTCGTGCTGACAGGTAGCTTCCTTTTGAATGCTTACACCATGCCTTGTGCTGTCAGGAGCTTGTGTTTTGTCAGAAATCTTTTCTAAAGCTGCCCAGGAGAAAATTACTTTAAATGAAATGGTTAAAAAAAGGACAATTTGTGTATTAGATGAGAAAATTCAATTACTTAATGCTCTCATAGTTATGTAAGGACTTTTATTGCTTGTGCTGCTGAAGCTTACATAACATTCATATCTTTCGCTTAGAGCTGAGGGCAGACGGTGGTCTCTGGCTTCTCTCCCATCTTCGGGCTATGGAACCAATCCACCGAGCTCCACTGTCTCGGTAAGTCACCCAAAAACACAACACTGTTCCCCCGATTGATTTGTGGCAGCCAAACAACTCCAATGTCTTAGCCTAAGCAGCCCATTCGTTTATGCAATAATGGCCAGACCATGTCGGGGCCAAGATGACAAACCGCTAATTGTTTTTCTGCGTCGTCTGCTTCAGTGAGTCATTCTCACAGTTTTTGGAACTCAGTGTTGGAAAGAGTACATACAGTCTGCATGTCCTGATGTTCCTAAGATAAATTGTGTGTCTGTAAGTCATGCTTTACAGTCACTTTCAACAAAACCTTGCCTTTTTGTCACAACGGCTGTGTCCTGAAAGTTTAAGATTACGAGTTTGATGCTGTGAAAGTGTGCCAAGTCAAACCAAAACTGAATGTGTTGCTGTTATAGGCCAGTTTACTTGGTGGAAGTATGTCCTGACATCCATGAGGGAAGTACCATAGGTCTGTTCAGAGAACTTCACTGCACTCAGAAAAATCATGGAAACATGTCACAGGCATTGTCCCTCCTGTCCTTTTCTTTTCAAAACACATGGCCTCAAAGTGCAACAGATTGCAGACAACTTACATCATGTTCTGTTTGAAAAGGCTACTCGATGCCCCAGCAGACAAGGACATCACTCAACTGTGTAAATAGTGAAGCTAATGCCGGTTTTATCACTGTTTATCCTTTTACCCATATTGGAACGTGTGAAGATCTTTTTTATTTTTTCCAGGACTCAAAAAAATCCTTAACAGGTGCCCTCTGAGTTGAGGCAGAGTTTATTAATGCTAACTAACATAATGCTGGTGTAAAATGGAGCACTTTAATATGAATAAATGAGTTTATTGGGTGAAGGTTTTTAAAAACGTCAGTGAGAACATGAGGAGTTTAATACCCACTCAGATGTAGGTCAAGCTCACAATAAGGAAACAGTTTTAGCTTACAGGGGAAACTTTTGTTTTGTTGTAATCGCAGCTCGTCTAACTTGTCTGAACAAGTTTTTGGTTTACAGCAACACCAGCTGATCCCTCTGTTAAAGAGTCACGGCTATGAAAAGGCCAGATTTTTGCTCAACAGCATCATTTTAAAAGTAGGAGATAAGACTTCAGTTACTCTGCGATGACACAAATTGCTGCACTTGGGACTTTTTGACTGACTTCAATCGCTCTTACTCACCACGTGCATCGCAACATTGTTCATGTAATATACAGGTGCTGGTCATAAAATTAGAACAGAATGAAAACATTGCTTTATTTCAGTAATTCCATTCAAAAATTGAAACTTGTATATTAATTAATTCATTACACATAGACTGATATATTTCAAATGTTTATTTCTTTTAATGTTGATGATTATAACTGACAACTAATGAAAACCCCAAATTCAGTATCTCAGAAAATTAGAATATTAAGACCATTTAAAAAACAGTAATTTAGAAATGTTAGCCAACTGAGAAGTATGAACATGAAAAGTATGAGCATGTACAGCACTCAATACTTAGTTGGGGCTCCTTTTGCCTGGATTACTTCAGAAATGCGGTGTGGCATGGAGTCGATCAGTCTGTGGCACCACTCAGGTGTTATGAGAGCCCAGGTTGCTCTGATAGTGGCCTTCAGCTCTTCTGAATTGTTGTGTCTGGTGTATCGCATATTCCTCTTCACAATACCCCATAGATTTTCTATGTATTTAAGGTCAGGCGAGTTTGCTGGCCAATGAAGAACAGGGATACCATGGTCCTTAACCAGGTACTGGTAGCTTTGGCACTGTGTACAGGTGCCAAGTCCTGTTGGAAAATGAAATCTGCATCTCCATAAAGTTGGTCAGCAACAGGAAGCATGAAGTACTCTAAAACTTCCTGATAGATGGCTGCGTTGACCTTGGACCTCAGAAAACACAGTGGACCAACACTAGCAGATGACATGGCCCCCCAAACAATCACTGACTGGAAACTTGACACTGGACCTCAAGCAATGTAAATGCTGTGCCTCTCCTCTCTTCCTCCAGACTCTGGGACCTTGATTTCCAAAGGAAATGCCAAATTTACTTTCATCAGAGAACATAACTTTGGACCACTCAGCAGCAGTCCCATCCTTTTTGTCTTTAGCCCAGGCGAGACACTTCTGATGCTGTCTCTTGTTCAAGAGTGGCTTCACACAAGGAATGAGGCAGCTAAAACCCATGTCTTGCATACATCTGTGCGTGGTGGTTCTTGAAGCACTGACTTCAGCTGCAGTCCACTCTTTGTGAATATCCCCCACATTCATACATACACTCATCTCCAGGCCAGCGGTCACTCTTTCAAGGATGAAGATGTTCACATCCTGGACAGAGAGGAACAATGGTTTGAGAGAGGAGTAAGGGAGGCCATCTTTGTGAAAAGAAATTGTCCATCGTTAAACAGGGGTGGAGGCCTCTGGGTTCAACTGTCCCCCTCTTACAATGCTGTGATTGCTAGTATCACTCAGCCCTCTGTGAGTAGTAAACAGCCATCAGTGTGCTAATGACCCATTGTTAGGCTGATGGTCCTTCTTGAGCATGTGAGCAGCTGGTTTTGGTTGTCAGCAGCAAAACTGGTTGATCCACTCTGAGAAGGTGCTATTTAAGAGACTGAGCTGAAAACAGCACCTCAGACTGAGGAAGTCTCTTGGATGAGAGACGAAACGTTTCTAGATTTTTTTGCTTTTTTTGTTTTTTTGAATGTCCAGAGGACCAGATTGAACTTTTTTTGGATTTTTCTACCTGGATTATTGAGCATGCATCAGGAGATCCCCCACATTCTGGAATGAGTTTTTTGTTTCACAATCCTCTCCAGGGTGTGGATATCCCTATTGCTTATTCACTTTTTTTCTACTGCATCTTTTCCTTCCCTTCGCCTCTTTATTAATGTGCTTGGACACAGAGCTCTGTGAACAGCCAACCTCTTTAGCAATGACCTTTTGTGTTTTGCTCTCCTTGTGCAAGGTGTCGATGGTCGTCTTTTGGACAACTGTCAAGTCAGCAGTCTTCCCCATGATTGTGTAGCCTACAGAACTAGACAGAGACCATTTAAAAGCCTTTGCAAGTGTTTTGAGTTCAATAGTTGATTAGAGTGTGGCACCAGGTGTCTTTAATATTGAACCTTTTCACAATATTCTAATTTTCTGAGATACTGAATTTGGGGTTTTCATTAGTTACCATACCACCAATTTATTTATAGAGCACTTAAAACAGCAACAAGGCCAACCAAAGTGCTGTACAATAGCAACAAACAAGCACAGCGGACAGGAAATAAAAAAAAATTAAAATATAGATACAAATAGCAGCAGATAATAACTAAAAGGCCAACACTGTAGAATACAGACAGGATCAAAACAAATCACACCGTGTCAAAGGCAAGGGAATAAAAGTGGGTTTTCAGGCGAGACTTAGTTGTCAGTTATAGTCATAAACATTAAAATAAATAAACATTTGAAATATATCAGTCTGTGTGTAATGAATGAATATACCGGTAATATAAAAGTTTCACTTTTTGAATGGAATTACTGAAATAAATAAACTTTTTCATGATATTATAATTTTATGACCAGCACCTGTACACAACTGTTACAGGAATCTTTTGTTGTGTTATAGAAAAAGGATTTGGGATGGAACGCATGTCAATCACTGCCTCTGTGAGGCTTTTTGAGTTTCATGTCAACCACATTCTTTTTTTTTATTTATTTTTTTTAATTTTATGTTTTTTAAATGTAGCTCAAAACATCAACAGACTATCTGCACAGGGGTCTGCAACCTACGGCTCTGGAGCTACATGCGGCTCTTTCAAGCTTTGACCAAAGCTGACATAAAACTGAAATTTATTGGTTGTTATACTGTAGTATGACATATCCTGAGATATATTCATACATTAAACGGGTTCACTCATCTTTCTGGACTGGATAAAACGTGCATTGAATTTAATGAAATGTAACGTGAGACGTCATTTTTCTTTGACCCATCAAAATGAATGCGGTCATTTATTTTACAGAATCAAAGTTTAACATCAAACATTTACATTAATTTGGCAGAATATGAAAACAACAACATAATTAATCAGCTTTTACAACCAGGAAACCATACGGCCATGGTTTTCCGTTGTTACACCACAGACATTAATGAAAACATCTGGATTAATTTTCTAGCAGATAGGAGAGTTAAAGATGGAAAGATGAAGTTTATCTGAGAGAGATGTGTGAGGGAATTTGTCTGTTTTAACCAGAACAGCACGCTCCATTGAAATCAGCTTGGCCAACGGTACGCTTGGTCGAAATAGAACTTTTACCTTGCAGACGATAGCTTCAGCGTCGGTGTAGAGCTCTTCTTTTGACTCTTTTCAGCGTCTCCGTGAGAACAGCTAAAACCTTAGGAGTCGTGTGAGGTTATCCAAACAGAAGTTATAATTCCCAAAATCGTCTCTGGTTCAGCTTGTTTGGTTTAGCAGCATCCATGAATGCCTGCGGTTGCATTCACGGACTCCCAAACTCCCTGCACTCTGGATTCCACAACTCTTGAACTCTACTGGAACTCTACTGTTGAACTGGGAAGTTGCCACATTTAAACGGGCTATACTTCCGGTTCATTTGAGAGCTTTTTGATTGGTGGATGGACCAGAACAGAGGTGTGGTTTGTGATGTAAGGTGTTATGGAAAGTCAAGGATAGAGATTAAGATTGTTTAAGAACAGACAGAAAGATTGTTGGAGAAAACCAGTCTTAGTGGCGTCTCTACTCAGTATCTTGCTGTAAAAGTTAAACATGACATTTCTTTTCAGTAAACTTCTTAGTTGACCGAAACCTGAACTCTAACACACTTACAAACTTGCTCACTTTCAAAGCAGACGATCAAGAAATTGAATCATTACTCTGTAATGTACTCTAACTTGATTTCACTTTGAATTGAGGAATAAAAATCATTACTACTGTTTAAGTAAATAAAAATGAGTAGTTCACTTCAACATGTAAACATTGTTTGAACTAACACAATTTGATTATCAAAACATTTGTAAAATAGTAATGATCATAGAGAATTGTCTTTTCCACTTGATTAATTCAAGACAGAAAGTCTCAGGATGGGTCAAACTGTATTTCTGGATTCAAATCAATGAAATGACAGTTTCTGTCCATCTGGTCAGTTTTGACATCAGGTTAAGTTCACTACAATACTAACGACAAGAAAGGATTAGTTCAGAAAGTTTTTCTGTCATTTTTCTTTTTTGCAAATATGTGAACACTGGAACGCATACAAGGAGTAAAATATACTTGAACTTTATGCTTTATTTCTTTATATGAGGGACTGTCTGCTTCCAACCATCCATCATCTTTTCCCGCTTCTTCCTTTTCGGGTCACGGGGGTCACTGGTGCCCATGTCCAGTCATAACTGAGTGAGAGGTGGGGGACACCCTGGACAAGTTTTGAGTCAGTCCATCACAGGGACACACTGACAAACAAGACAGACAACCATTCACTCTCTCACTCACACCTAGGGACAATTTAGAGTTACCAATCAGTCTAACATGCATGTTTTGGGACCGTGGGAGGAAATCGGAGTACCCAGAGAAAACCCTCGCATGCACGGAGAGAGCATACAAACTCCACCCAGAAAGGCCTCAGGCCGGAATTTAGTCCGGCACGCCCAACTCGCTGAGAGGCGGCAGCTCTACCAACTGCGCCACCGTGCCGCACTGGCTACATAGTTCATAGATATTTTACAAATAATAAAAAAAAAAAGGTAAAATAGATTTTTTTTTTTTTTAACCTTCTTCTTTACCAGAATCTGGTCTTTTTATATAAAAAAAAAATAA